TGCTTAGCCGGGGACAGGAAGGCAGGGGAGTCTGTGCAGGCTGTGGGGGGAGGCCCGGGCAGCAGGACAGGGAGGAGCCCCAAGGGCAGGACGCAGGGAGTATCTTTGAACTGGAAAATGGAGTGAGAGGCTGTAGGGAGAGCAGAGGCTCGTGAGCGCACACCTGGAATTTCTCACACTCTGCACGGCTTCCCTCTGAGATTCCCTCATGCTGGACCCAGGATGTGCTCTGCATGTGACCTAAATGTGTGCGGAAGCACAGTCACCAGGCTGCAGAAAGTGGGCAGTTCGTAAACGGGTTTTAGTCCCCCACGGAGAAACCTGCCCCCTTTCACACCAAAGCAAAGGGCGGGCGATCCTGAGGGAAGGCCTGTTTCCAGGCAGCTGGGTCCTCCCGTTGAGCCCTGAAGCCCCAGTGCTGGGACATGAGGAGAGAAGCTGCCCCCACAAGAACTTTTAAAGTACTTGCTACGTGTCTTCTGGAAATCCTAGTTCGTGTGGTGCGTGCACTTTCCTTTCACCGACGTCTATTGCTTTTCAGGCAGATGCTTTCATTTTTATAACAGATTTGGTTGGTCTGGGAGCTTTGGAAAGTGGGGATTGTGGGTTGGGGGCAGTAACATGAGAGAGGTCTTTGTGGAGTACACTGGCCCCTTTGGCTCTTTAGCCCTCCTCCTCTCATTTTATCTACCCATTGGCATCTGTCAGGTCCCACGGGGCCTCATGCTTCTGACCCTCAGTGAGGCACCACATGGAGAAGTGATAGGAAGTGGCTCCAGACTTCGGTCTCCTCCTCTTGGGCCAACCAGCCCTACCAGACCAACTAATGCTCAGAGCTTGCCGCCCTTGGCAAAGCTCTGCTGAGACCTTGGGCAAGTCCCCTCCGTGCTGGGCCCCAACTTTGCCCATCCACAGTGAGGGACAGGGACTTTCCAGCTGTCACAGGGCTCCGTGGACCAGCTGGGAACCAGCAACCAGCAGCTGCTGCCACACTTCAAAGACCTTGCTATCCTTGTCTGAAGAGCAGCGCCCTGAGTTGCCTCCGAGAACCCTTCCCTGCCCAGCCGGGGAGCTGGCCCTGCAGAGTCGCCGGCAGCCTTGTCACTTCCTGTGCATGCACTGCGCCATCCTGGGACACCCTACCTGCCCTCCTGGGTGCCTGGACCAAGAAGCAAACCTGCTACCTTTAGTTTTTGGAAGGACTTCCAGCTTCACCCACCCAGATGGGCTGTTCAGAGATGGCAAGACAAAGTCAGCTGTGGCCCATCTGCCAGGCTGAGGTGAGGGTTTCCCTGGGAAGATGGGCTTCTCCTGGAGAGCAGCGGGGGTCCTGCGTCTAGGAGGGCACAGAGACTCCTTCTGTGGTACCCGCCCGAGGGAGCCCAACCGCCCCGCATTCAAGACCACAGGGTGTAGTCTCAGGGGCCTGGGCCCAGAGCTCTGTGAGAGCCCACAGGGACCCTCCCCTGAGCTCTGGGAGCCACCTTCCTCCCTCCAGCAGTCTCCATGAGCAGAGCCTGCTTCCTCGCTTCCCTGAGCCCGGCTCCCCGAGGAGTGAGAAAGAGGGCAGGGGCTGTGGTGTTGGTCCTCAGGCTCCAGAGTTTGGGAGAGAGCTGAGTCCCGTGGAAGTAAGTCCTGTGGGGACAACCAGGGCTCTGGTGACAAGATCTATGAGGTGCCAGCACAGCAGGATGAGGGAGAGGCCTGAGAAAGGTCCCCTGAGGGGACAGCAGGGCGCCTAAGTCAGACTCCAGAGCAGAGGCCAGCGGGGCTCCTTTAAAGGCCTCCGTGGAGTTTGAGCAATGAGGACCTGGGTGTGAGCCCCTGATGTCTTAGAGTCTTAGAACAGAAGAGATTTGGAGAAATATGTATCAGGAGGGAGTACCCTGAGCAGGCCACCCCCCAAAGCTAGCTGTGGCCTTGGGTTTCTCAGGCAGGACTTGGGAGACACCTGGTGCTGCCTGCTGGCTCTGCCCCTTGGTGCACGCCCTCCGCCGCCGGCTCCCTGGCCCCGTGTTTGCCTGTGGTATCCTAGGAACCGGGGCTTCGAGCCTGTGGTCCTGTTACATAACAGCTTCCATCCCATCCATGGGATCAGCCCTCCAGCGAGCAGGAGCTAAAGCAGCACATGGAGGAAAGTCTCTTCTCCAGACAGTGGGGCTCCTGCCTGTCCGAATCTCCAGTCTCTGCCAGTCCGCTGCCACCCCAACATGCAGAGGGAGGGAACTTAATACACAATCAGCAGCCAGTGCATTCTCTCAGCGGGGCCCTCTGGTCCTGTCCTTGTCCCACGTGAGCACAGCACCTGTCAGTGGCCACACGCTGGCCATAGCTTCCGAAAGCTAGCAGACCCAGGGGGCCGCCCATGAGTTGCAGTGGCACTCCCCACAGTGTTCCTCTGCACCCCAGGCCTTCCTTCTGCCAGGAAGGGGCCCAGCGCAGATCCCTGCTGGGGACCCTCCCTAGCTTGGAGATGCCTGTCCTGCCACTGTGCCTGTGGCTGCCCCCACCCCTTGGGTACCTGGGCAGCCAGCCAATGCAGGCCACCTCCATTCCTACCTGTCCTCTTCTCTGGCCAAGGCAGAGAGTGCTCCAGCAGGGACTTGAGGACCTCAGGCATGTCCATGGCAGGGGCCACTCCGATCCGGTCACAGCTAGACATGGCCCTGCAGGAGGTGCTTGTTCGGGGAGTTTAGAAGCAGCTGGAGAGGCAGGAGCTAGCTGGGGAACTGCAGGCTCTGGAGGCGGGCGGGGCGGGAGCCCGAGGCAGCCAATGGGCAGCACAGGCCCCGGCCCGCCCGTCCACCCCCAGCTCGGCCACCTGCCAGCTCAGGCTGCAGCCAGGCCTTCCCTTCCCGCTGCCTGGTAGGGCGGGCCTGGCTCTGTGCCAGCTGCAGCACGTGGAGCCACCGCGCCAATCCTGACAGAGAGCCCAGCCTGTTATCTAACTTTGCAAAGGGAAGTTCTCCCCCAGGCTGGGAGCCATAACCAGGGCCTGCCAGGTGAGAACAGTGAGATGGCTCCATGCCTACAGCGAGCATGCACCACACACTCAGGCACACTCGGTGGGGGAACCCAGGAGGCCAGGCCCAGCAGAGAACAGGGCCTGCCACAGAAACCAGCTCAGGCTGGGACCGGAGATCCCAGCCCCCCAGGCAGCTCAGTATGAAGGATATTCTGTTGGCACATCCAGGCACATGAGGGACATCACACACTCATCTGCGAGCTTGTGAGCCTCAAGGAGTTGTTGACATGTTTTGCTGCTGATGTCTACAAGCTATGCACATGTGCCCTGCAAGGCACGCGGGTGTGCATGTGGTGTGCATTAATTGGGGCTTTATACCATCTGCAGTCCTTGTTCTGCTCTCCTAAGGGGAGTGACAAAAGCTGCAGCCTGGCCTTCCTTTGGTCTTCTGGGGAGGGGAGGAGACGGGTGCCCAGCAGACAAATGCTGGGAGGGCAGGCAGAGCAGGCACCCCTGAAAGGGGGAGCTCTGCAAATGTGGTGCAAGCTTGTCCTGGAGGACGTCCTGCTTCCCAGCCTGTCCTGGGGAACTTTGGCAATTGGCTCTTTGTGGTAGTCCCCTGCCTGGCCCTCTCACCAGGACACTGGCCTCTGTGCTCCCTAGGCCACTTGAAGGTGTGGTTGAAGCCAAGGTTCTGTATGTCACCCCCCCCAAGGACCAACCAGAACATGGGTGTCAGGCTCTGGATTCTGCCAAGCACTGATGTGGGATCTTGAGCAAGCTGCACAGCTCTTCTGGGTCTCAGTTCCAAAACGACTGAATGTTGTGACCTCTGAGGTTCCTTTCAGCTCTAGTTCTGTCTCTGATGATCCATCCAGGTTGGATGCAACAAACATTTGGTTCCCCGCACGGAGCTGATTCCTTTGCTGCTTTCTAAAACCCCATTTTGCACAGAATCAAAAATACTCCAGAAACTCCTTCTGGCCCCTCCCCTTCCCAACAGCTCTCCGCTCGTCCTCTAATTACCCACTCTTCCTCCCTAATAACCTCCCCAAACCATGTTCTTTTCCTAATTAAAAATTAATTTCAATTTTGAATTTAAAAAACCATATACACCCCAAGCTTCGAACTTTTGATAAGGCGTACTTTAGAAATGTCATTTCTGGGGCTGGCCTGGTGGCACAGCGGTTAAGTGCACACGTTCCACTTCGGCAGCCCGGGTTTTGCCGGGTTGGATCCTGGGTGCGGACATGGCACTGCTTGGCAAGCCATGCTGTGGTAGGCGTCCCACATATAAAGTAGAGAAAGATGGGCAGAGATGTTAGCTCAGGGCCAGTCTTCCTCAGCAAAAAGAGGAGGATTGGCAGCAGCTGTTAGCTCAGGGCTAATCTTCCTCAAAAAAAAAAAAAAAAAAAAGAAGTGTCATTTCTATCCCTGTCCTCCCTCCCCTTTCCCCTTCCTCATAACACATTTAGTTTCTTATTTATCCTTCCAGTGCCCTTTGCCTCTGGACCCGGGGGTGGGAGTGCGGCAGGCCTGGTGAGCAGGCAGCCTCGAGTGGACCTGTAGTTTGCACCCTGAGGCTGACTGAGGCTGGACTGGTGTGTTAACCATTCCTCGGCCCAGGAACCCTCTTGTGTGCAACACTGGCTTACCACAAAGGTGGAGTGGGTAGTTACCCACAGAGCATGATTTCAGAGGCAACAGGAAGTACCCTACATGTTTCAAAAATACTCACCTGCTGCACGACATTTCATTCTCAGAAATTCGTTCCTGTGAGCGCTCTGCAGACCCCTTACAACGTACAAATGTACTAAGCCTCTAAGACTGTGAATGAGTACTTACTGCGCACCTGGCACCAGCCTAGACCTTGGGAGGAATTCAAAGTTAAATAACAAACCTGGCCCGGCAAGTCCCTACCCTTAGGGAATTTTCATGCCACTGAGTCAGCCCACATGGCACTCCCACTCTGCACCAGGGTATCCAGCTGGCAGCATCACCTATGGTCACAAAGGGGCAACATCAGCAGGTTGCTGGGCAGGTAGCTGCGAGGGCAGAGGTAGGGAGAAGGGAGGCCACATACAAGTCTGGAGACACTGGGAGGGGGCTGGGTGGCAGGTGTGTTGGGATTGTCTGCTCTTCTTGGGTTTCCTGACTCGGAGGTCTGATGCCCACAGTCGGTGGCTCCCCTGGTAGGGGTACCTGTGGATGCAGTTTCTGGCAGAGCTCTCAAGGGCTTTCTCTAGAGAGGTGCAGAGCTGCCCCCATCCCCACCCTCGCCTGCAGGTCCCCTGACAGTCACCCCACCCGTCCAGGTGGCCTCTCCTTGGAACAGCTTCCCCAGAGGCAGGGAGGAGAAGCCCGCTGGGGCACTGTGGTGGTGGTGCTCAGTGGCCCCCACTCAGAGGGCTGAAGACTAGAAACGGGCCTGCGTGCAATAACTGGGGGCTGCTGAAGTCAGCTGGGGCCCCTTGACGGATACAATGTCAGCGACTGATGGTAAATATCTAGGTTACAAGCAGGGCATGGAGACCCACATGTGGAATACAATTGAGAGAAAAAGATGCAGAACGCTAAGTGCACAATGATTACAATGATACGACAATCTTTTTAAGCCTCAATTCCAGTTTCACCTCCTCCAGGAAGCCCTCCTGGCTCCCCAGCCTGGATGAGGTCCCTTCCCTGGCACCTGGAGTGTCTCCCACCACTGCACTTGTCCCATCATCCTACACTCTTCCAGGTAGGGCCATCTCCCTGTGGACTATGGATTCAAGGGAAGCCACGTTTCTTCAGTAATCTGGTATCCCCAGGATCTGAGACCAGGTGGGTGCTCAGTTAATGCTTACCAACTGAGCCAAATGAGGACCAGAAGAGAACTTAGAGGAACTTACGAGAATATAAGAATTTAGTCCATAATGTTCATTGAAGTCCTGTTTATCTAACTCTCTCTGATTTTCTGAGTTCAAGGGAGGAGCTGATGCAGGCTCATGATCCCTCTAGCCTGAGGATGGGTCTGCATTTTTCTTTCAAGAGCTGTCCCCTGCCATGCCACTTTGCTCTTCCACGGTGCACCCAGGGATACTAAGAACCCCAGAACGTCAGCACTGGAGGGAGCTTTGCCAACAACCTAGTGCCCAGTGGTTCTCGATCTTTTTTCTGCCTCCTTTTTGAGGGTCCTTGGAAACTTCGCTAAACCTCTCTAGACTCTAAGATGTGGACACCAAACGTGCAGAGAAGTGCTCAATCAGGTTGGCTGCTTCTCTTACTCATTTGGTCATTTTTCAAGCATCAGAGACCCTACTGCATACCTGACCCAAATGATTCCCTTTCCTCAGAGAATTCTCAGGCCTTGGACCTCTGTTCCTGGGGCCTCTCCATCCTGCACTTGAAAGCTGTCTGGTGAGGGCCTGCTCATGTGCAGCACCTCCCATCAGGACCCCTCTCCATCACGTGCAACCATGCACAATCCAAGAGATTTGAAAAAGTGCCTCCCACCCTAGCAGATACAGGTGTCCCTGACAGAATTCCCTATCTAATACACGCTCTCCTTTTAAAGACGAGGAAGCTGGGCCTAAGTAACTTGGCCCTCCTTCCCTGGACCCAGAGCAGCCGGGGCTGCAGTTGGGATCATATTCCAAAGCATGGCACAGCCCTTCACCTTTCTGGAAAAGCCACACCCAGAAAGGGCAAAGAGCCGGCCCTCTGGAACGCGGAATGGCGCACATGGTAAAAGCTGGGAGGTGTGGGTACCACTGGGCAGCCCCACTCAGAAGGCCACAAGCAGGCAGGCTGCAGAAGAGCCAGCAAAGGGTGGCTCCTGGGGCCACTTGTGCAGAGCACAGCTTGTCCCTGCCAGCCGAGCTCGAGCTGCTGCCTGAGCCGGGTCAGCTGGGTTTGCCTGTTTACACAGGGACACAGACCTTCTGCCCCTCACCCCTTGGAATGTCTGCCTTGAGGCATGCCCAGCGGCAGCCAGCTCTGCCCCACAAATACAGAGCAGCCCAGGCCCCCAGACACAAGTGCCAGGCAGGGACGAACAGGAGCGACACCTGGGGGACAGAGGTCAAAGTGCACACGTTTATTTTCTAGAACAAAGGCTAAAAGAGGCAAGTTTCTTTCATTTTATTTTAAGAAGGACAAAAATTGTTATTAAAACATCTACATTATTATCAAGATACTAGACCTTATGAATATTTAATATTAAAGTGTGGTATTCTTAAATTTTTAATACACAGACATTTTAAAAGGACCATTAAGTTGATTACTGCCCAGCTGAGAAATGCAGCATCCCTCTTTACCCCCTCAAAGGGACACTCATGGGGCGCCTGCCGCCCATCACTGTGTTCATAATGACGTCTGATCCCTGCCTGCTGGCAGTGGGCCCCATTCAATACTCTGAGCCTCCCAGGCAGGGTCACTACGGAAATAATCACCCCCGTCATCAAAGTGTACTCCCATTGCCCCCCACCCGACACCCTTCCTCTCGCTCTCTTCCCAGCCCTGTGAGGGATCCAGCCTGGCCAGGCCAGAGAGCCCCAGATCCCGAGGGCTCCTGGACGGATTACAGGTTGAAGAACTATCTGGACTCTAATCCTGTTCCTTTGGGTGGGAGACACCGATCATTTTCTTTCCCTGAGCACTTCTGCTCTCTCCTCGCTAGGCTGGGGTGGTCTGGAAGCCATCAGGCAGAGCTGGGCCCAGGTGGGGGGGGGGGGGCACTCTGCCCTGCTGCCCAGATCACCTCCAACCATGGCTCCAGTCCCTGAATCCTTGAAAATGGCCTGATGACCCCGAAAGTCCCTCCTAATTACACCAGGATGGCTGCATTTTCCGGCCAAATTCTTTATCTGTAGCCCTCATTAGAAGAGATTCCTCGGATACCACACACATATATAATATTATATAGAGCGATATATTTAATACCTGTGTATATATGTATCACGGGGGCGACATATATACACACTAAAAACAAGGCTGGTGACAACAGACTGCAACACCACAGATCAGGGAGACAAGTGTCATCGACATTCACGGCCACGGCCCCCACCTTGGGTGTGGTCTCTCCTCCCCTCCAGCCAGACCACCAGCACCCAAACTGCAGTGCTGGTCTGCTGGGGGAAGGGGGAAGAGAGAGGAAAGGATGCATGCCACGATTATCGGGAAAGGCTGGGCAGTGGCGGCAAGAGGAACAGGGTCCCCTGCGGCCTGGGGTGCCCGTCATCATATCATCGCACACTATCAATCCTTGCTGGAGGAGAAATAGGGGTGTTCCATTCTCTCCGTCTCACCCCCTCCCCCGACTCCAGCCATGGTCCCCGGTTCCTTCCGGGGGGTCCCCACCATTGTGCCAATGGTGTAGGGCATTCTGGAATGTCTAGAGAACCAGGGGAGGCTGGGTCTGCCCAGAGCGGGTGGGATGGAGAGGAGGGAGTGCACGCAGACACGTCAGATGAGAGGATGGGAGAGGGCTTGGTGGGTGGCGGCTGGGGCTGGCTGTCAGCTGGGGTCCCAGGCAGCTGGCCGGGCTGGGGATCAGGGAGGGGCTGGGAAAGACAGTCATAACTGTATGTCCAGGTCTAGGGGAGAAGGGGGAGAGGACCATGCTGGGTCCCCAGGAAAGAAGGGCTGCGTCTGATCCTGGAGTGGCCCACGGTGCCCGGGGGTCAAGTCTCCCTTCTCTCCACATCCCCTAACCACTCCCCTCAGCACCTCAAGCAGAACCTGAGCCCATGGGTGCCCTGCCCGTTACCACCTCGCCCCCAGTGGGCATGGGGAAGTCACCTTTGTTGCTATACTCCCTACGACCATCCTCAGAAGGGGACTGTCCCTTCACAGGGTGCTGAAAGATCAAGCCCTGAGCCTCCCTCCCCCAGCCCCTAGGCGGCGCTGCCCGGACTCCAGCTGCACATGGACTCAGAGACTGTGACATCCCTGCCCAGGGCCTGGAGGCTCCTGCCAATAACTGGCCGTGAGTCTTCTGACCACAGTTTGCACCTCAGCTTGACCTCATGCCATGGGCTGGAGACCCTGGGCCGATCACTCCTCCCTTCTAGGCCTCAGTGTTCCTATCTGCAAAATGGGGGTTTGGGCTGGGTCATCACCAAAGGCTCTGAGGATCTACAGTCTACATTCAATGGCCCATGAGGGAAAATGGCTGGGCTGTGGCCTCACTAGAGACAGCCAGACTCCTCAGTCAGCTCCAGAGATCATCCAGCCCAGTCCCTCCCACTCTTCCAACCAGAGGGAAAACTGAGGCCCAGAGGGGAAGTGACCAGTACAGCATCCCCGGCTTCATCCTGGGGCTGCATTTTAAAGCTAAGTGGGGCCTCCTACCCTCTGTTGTGTCCTGATCTGCCCCCAGGGAGGCGGGGGTGGGGTGACGGTGGGGCAGGGAGAAGGCCCTCTTGCTGCAGATTCAAGCGGGGACCCCAGGCTCCCCAGCCCTGAGCTTTGGGCCCCCTTTAGGAGCAGACAGAAGTTAAAGCTGTAGGCTGAAGCTGGAGGGGTCAGCTAGGCCCCTCCCTCCCCAACCAGGAAAGCGGAGGTTGGGGGGGAGGGTCTGCCCAGGGTTTCAGTGGGAATGAGGACCCCAGGACCACAGCTTGCGCACCTGGGTATGCAGATGGGGGCGGTGGGGACAGAGAAGATGGACAGGGCCCCAGGGGGCCGGGGGCTGCCTGATGAGGGCGGCCCCCCACCCCCAGCCCTGGCCTGCCCTGGCCCTTCCACCAGGCCCTTGGTCCCCATCCCCACCCCTGACCCTAGGACTTCACCCACAGCCAAGACCTGGCTCTACTCCCCGCTGACAGTGGCAGCAGCAGGGGCCTCTGGGGCGGCACCAGCGGTGTTCCCGTCTTCTTGCAGCAAGAAGTTGTATTTGCCAAAGTCGTCGTCTCGTGGGCACAGAAGCATGTCCTTGCGGGCCTTGGCCAGCTTCTGCTTCAGCACCTCGCGCCGGTCCAGCCACTCGTTGAGCTCCTCCTGCCCGTGAGCGCAGCGGCACTTGTCCCCGTCTGGGCAGGCCTTGCCCTTCTGGAGCCTGTGGGCGACAGGAAGCTCACTGCCCGATCCTGTGCCTTGTCCACCATGGCTGCCGGACCTTGGGCCAGCTCCCCCGAGACAAGCCCATCCCCGGGCAGCTTCTGTCCTGGTGAAAGCTGGTATGTCCCAGCCTTCTCCAGGATTGACCCAGAGCTGCAAAGTATGGGTCTGGGCAGGTCTGAGTCCACCCCTCCAATCCCACCCCGTCCCGATGCTCCTCACATCTGGGAGCAGCTGTTCCTGGACACACCACACCCTGCACGCCATCTCCAGGCCAAGAGGAGCCAGTGCTAGACACGGCCTCCATCTCCTCAGGCCCACTCCACACGTCCACCCCACAGCCCGCCAGGTCCCGCCAGACCCACCCCACAGCCCTGCACCTGTCACAGAGCCGGAACTCGCCCATGGGGAAGCGGTAGGCCCAGCCGCTGGCGTCGCTGTCAGATGTGAAGACCTTCTCCTTGTGCTTCTCGGACTGGATGTGCTGCTGCCACTGCTTCTTGCTGTTGCTGTTCTTGCCGCAAAGCCAGCAGTGGTAGCCCATCTGGGGGTACAGACACCATGGGTGCCCACTCCCCACACCTCTTCCCGGACCATGTCCCCCAGGGAGGCTAAGCCCCTGACAAGGCCCCTCCAGGTCAGGCTCAGACCTGGCTCCCAGCCTGTGGGATTACCATGATATCGGCATAGTCCGTGGGCATCTGGATCTGCTTCTCCCCTTCCCGAGAGCTGATGGGGGTCCCTTCCCCCGGCTTCCCTGGGTTGTGTTTCTTCAGCCACATGTCATAGGTCTGCTGCATGTCCAGGACTGGTGGGAAATAGGGGACAGAGTGCCTTGTGAGAGGGGCTTCTTCATCCATTCTGCCCCATGACCCCTGCTGGGCTGCCCAGTCAACCACAGATGGCCCAGAGAGCACAGCCTGGGCACAGAAAGGGCCTGGGTGGCAAGGGGGTTATGGCAGGGGTGCTTGGGCCTGCCACTGAGTCGGGGTGCCTGGTAACGAGGGTCCCGCCCCACCCAGACTGCCCACTCACTCTTGTTCTCCTTCATGAAGGTCCACATGTCCCTCTCCTCCGGGCTGTGTGCAAAGGAGCAGTTCCCCACGTACTGGCACTTGCGGCCATTCTGCGCATGGATGCAGAGCTGTGGGTGGGCGTGGGAGGGCCTGCTGAGTCCGCTGGATTGCGTCCCTGTCCCAGTCGGCGGGCAAGCCTTCCTGGGTCCCCATGGCCCCCAGACCCGAGGTGCCACTGCCACCCTGCCACCCACCCCGGTGCTCACATCGTATTGCTGTGGGAAGTTGCGAATGGATGGCAGTGGTCTCACTGACACCCATTTCCTCTTGGCCTTGGACATCACCAGAAGGACCCGCCGCTCCTTGGTCCAGCTGCAGGACAGAGCAGGGAGCTGGTTGGGGAGGGTTCAGGCCAGAGCCTTGGGCTGTGTGACCTCCACCGTGAGCCCTGGCATCCTTACCCGTGGCGCTCGCTGGGGCCCCGCCCCCCCGGCACCCGCCCAACCCCTGGCTCACCAGTGCCGTGCCTTGGCGCTGCAGTACTTGAGGTCTTTGTCAGGCTCCACCACCTGTCCATTCCTCCAGCACTGGCCGCACACGAACTTCATCTGCAGGTCAAAGGTGCTGGGCCCATGCGTCCGCGGGGCGCCCTGTGAGGGAGGGGAGCCAGTAAAGCCGCAGGCACTGGGGCCGACACCCGGGGTCTGTTGTGCAGGTGGCCTCTGGGAGCAGTAGGGCCACCCAGAGCCCTGGAATGTGCTGGTCCATTACCACTTTCCGGCAGGAAGCGATCCCTCAACTCCAGGCCCCATGGCTTCTGAGTGTGGGAGCCAGGCCTGGGATGGGGTTCCTGACTCCTGATCAAGGATTCTCCGCTTTATCTGAGTAGTCTCCACAGGCCTGCTCTGTGGAGCTGCTGGCACTTCCCTAGGCACAGCATGTGACCCCCTCACCTCTCTGCCTTTGCACATGCTGTTCCCTCTGGCTGGAATGCCCTTCTTCTGTTCTTCATCAGGCTTGTTCTAGAAACCTTCAAAATTTAGCTCAAACACTACCTCCTCCAGGAAGCCTTCCCTGGAGCTCTCCTAAGTGGCAGCTGCCCATCCTATGAGCTCCCACAGAACCTGAACTACCTCATCTTGACCAACTCACCTAGTGATGAGGGCTCGACCTGGTCGAGAGCAGGGCCCAGAGGGTGGGCAGCCACTTCCAGGGGCTGGGCATACAGGAGGTTGCCTCAGGCGGCCTCTAGGCAGCCCTGGACTCTAAGGCCCTAGCATGTTCATTCCCCACCTTCTGCCCCAACCATTCCTTTGCAGGCAGGAGGGCCTGCTCTTCTGCACTCCTGGGACAGGGTGGGGGCAAGAGGTGGGACAAGTACCCACCCAGCCTTGTCTCCTGCCACTTTTGACCCCTCACCCAGCCATGCTGGCTAACCTGCTGTCTCTCCCATTAGCTGGAGCCTCCCTGTCCTCCCCAGAGCCTCAGATGGGGGTCCCCCTTCTCTCCTCCAGACTTGCGGGTCCCTGTCCCCTGCCCTGGGAACACCCGTGTCCCTAGCACTGCCCAGCCCAGGGCCTGCCCTGGAGTAGGAAGGGGATCTGTCCTTGCTGCTTGTTGACTGACCCTGGCCTGGTGCTGGGAGACTGGCAGCCTGGCTCGGCCCCAGGACAACACACATATCATCCCCAAAACAAGGTGAAATCACGCCTTTGTAACTGGGACACAGCCTGTGCTAGAGCGGGCAGGAGGCGTGTCCACATGGCTCCTGCTTTCTAGGTGCTCCACTGGATCCCCACAGGAGCATGAGAGGACCCACTGCAAGGGGAGGTAAGTGGGGCCCGGAGGGGCTTAGCCGCACCAGGTCCCCGAGCTTCCCTTTTCACAGCTGTACAGTTTCACCGTCTCCTTGCCGCAGGCCTAGGGGGCAGATGTGATCACTCCCATTTGAGCAGAAGCAGAAGCTCAGACAGGTTGCTAACCCACCCACGGGGAAGTGGCCTGAGGACGGGGACCTGGGCTGAGGCAGGTGCTCGTGCTTCTTTGTGGGATGGCACAGGTGTGCCATGGGCACGGGGCCTGAGCAGCTTCTTCCCTGGCATCCCGTCCTTGGCCTCACAGTGCCACTGGCCCTGCCCTCTGATAGCAGAGCAAGCAAGACACCTCATTCATGGGCTGTGGCCAGGCCCGGCACGGAGGCCCTGTTCCTGTGCGAGGAGTGGCATTTTGGGTGGGCAGAGCGGGCCCCTGGCAGCAAGAGGGAGTTGAAGCCCGTCAGGGCACCCTCAGGCAGCTAGGCCTGCCGCCGTTCCTGGGGACCCCGGCAGCAGCCTTGCGCAGGATGAGGGAGGGCCAAAGGGATAGGAGGTGGCAAGGACTCAGTATTCTCTTTAGAAGACAATGCTGTAGGTCCAGCCTGAGCCCTTTACTGCTTCCTAGCTGGGCTCCGGCAGGAGCAAAAATAACACACAAAGGGAGGAGGGGGAGGGGAAAAGAGGACTGCACAGGAGGGGGATGACCAGGAACGAGGGGGCTAAGGAGACAGAGGGAAGACCCAAGGGGGCCGGGCAGCCCTGTAGACAGCCTGGCCCAGGCCTGCCCCACCAGCCAGCCTGCCCCGCTCCTGGCTCACGGCCAAAGCCAGGTTGGCCTCAGGAGGGGCAGGGGCCCAGCTTTCTCCCAAGTTGATCAGTGGGCAGGACTGGCATGGTGAAGGGGTCGTCCCTCATGTGGAGGGCATGGAGGCCTCACTTCCCACTCACTGCCTCCTGGGCCCTGAGACTACCCCGTCTGTCCCCACTGTCATCTGAGGTTACAGTGGTCCCAACCTCCTGAGGAGGGTATGAGGAGCAGGGATGGCAGGGGGCAGCTCCTGTGAGCCTCGCCCTTCCCTGGGAGACAGCAGGCAGGATTATGATCCCCATGGTGGATGGGGAATCCTCAAGGGTGACGGGAGTGGTATGGGGTGGGGAGGGGGCAGAGTGAGCTCTAGACAAGATGTCAGAGAAGCTGGGATTTACTCCCCTAAGTGTACTCCTGGGCAAGTCTGTAGCATGCTCTGAGCCTCAGTTTCCCCATCTGCAAATGCCACAAGCAACAGCTCACTTCTTCAGGACCAGGGTGAGGATCAAGAGGGATGGGAGATGATACAACCAGTGGGTGAAAAGTTTGGGGAATACTAGGCTAGTTACATGGTCTCAGAGTATCTCCCCAGAAGATATTTATTGATTACAAAGGGAACAAATATAACTTCACAGGAGAGGAACCTTTATAATGGAGTTACCTTTAATCAAGTTGTAACCGGTAAAGGGACAAATGGAGATGATGTGTGTCCCCAAGAGTGAACTGAGAAGCTATCAGCTCTGTGGTTTGAGGAACCATCAGACCATCCCAAAGGGATGGGCCTTTTACAAAACAATCAGCTCTCCAAAAATGGCAACGTCGTGAAAGACAAAGACGGACTGAGCAACCGCTCTAGATTAAAGGAGACTAAAGAGACACAATAAATGAATGCAATGTGTCACCTGGGATTTGGGGACGATTCACAGAATTGGAGTAGTATACCATAATCTGAATAATTACACCAATGTTAATTTTGGCATGTTGATAATTACACTGTGGTTATTATGTAAGAGAGTATCCTTATTTTTAGGAAATACACACTGAAGTAAACGTTTAGTGGTAATGGGGCATCACATCGGCAACTTAGTCTCAAATGGTTCAGAAAAGTGTGTACATTTCTATATGTAAACCTATGAGTATATGTACACACACACACACAGAGGACAAAGTGAGTATGGAATGTGGTAAAATGTTAACATCTAAGGAAGCCAGAAAAACATATACACGAATTCTCTGGACTCTTCTTACCATTTGCTGATAAGTCTGAAATTACATCTGAGTAAAGGGATGGAGGATGGCCTTCCATGGGGCTGGATCCCACCCCCAGCGCCAACCTGGGGCCTTACCAAGCTGCTGCTGGCCTTCCCTGCATGGGCCTCCATCTGCTGCCAGTATTTCTTGGATTCCTGGACGATGTCTTCATGGGTCATGCCTGGTGGGGGTGGGAGCAGACAGAGGCATCCCTGAAGGGGCTCAGCGAGAAAGGCAGGGGATCTGTGAGGGGCCTGTGCCACCCCCAGGCCCAGGCAGAAGAGCCCCATTCTCTAGTCAGGTCCTGCCACAGAAAGCTGTGGGGCGCAGGGAAACCACTCATCCTTGCTGGGCCTGTTGTTTATCTGCAACTGGGGACGGAGGCCTGCTCCAAGCCCTCGCAGTACTGAGAGGAGAAAATGAGGCCACGGGTAGGAAAATGTGGGAGAATCGCATTGGCTCTACAGCACGGTGATCCCTGCCCCCAAGCCAGCAGCCCTGTCTCTTCCTTGACCCCTGCCTCCCTTAGTGGGGCTTCAAGCCTGATCCCTGCTTGGCAGCCGCTGGCCCATCACATCTTAGGGCTCCATGCCTGGCCCAGCCAGACTCCCCAGTTCAGCGAGGGGTCATGGCTCTTCACCGCCAGTCAGCAAAGGGCAAACACCCAAGTCTGGTGGCCCAGACCCTCCTAATCTGACAGCTAACACTGAGTCCACCTTCTGAGGTGTAGCTCGGAGCCTCTTCCCTGAAGCTTACTCTCCCCTCCCAAACCCCCTCCCGCGTTCTAGGCCCTTTCCCAGAACTGATTTCGTTTTCGACCTTGTCCTATGGATACTGCTCCACGGTGCCCACTTGTCATCTGGGCTTACTCTGCGCCAGACAACTCCACTTGACATCCACGTTCTTGCTGATTCCCAAAGATGTGTCCAGCCTAGACCTCGCCTGTGAACTGCAGACTCCCACGTCTGGCTGCCTGCCCATCTCCACTTCAAGTCCAACAGGCAGTTCAGACTCCCCACGGGCCCCACTGAGCCCTGGTGCGACCTCAGACCTGCTCCTCCTTCAGCTCCCCCTTCTCAGAACATGGCAACCCCATTCTTCCAGTGACCCTGGTCAAAAACCTTGGAGTTGACCTTCACACTGTCCTTTGTCTCATCCTTCATATCTGGTCCATCAACAGCTCCTCCACCAACAACTCCTCCCACAGCTCCACCATCAAAATCCACCCAGAACCTCATCTGTCCTTCCACTTTCACCGCTGCCAGCCTGGTCTCCCTGCACCCGCCCGCCCTCACCCCCCATTCTCCACCCAGCAGCCAGAGCTACTTTTTAAAAACATTGATCAGATCATAAGACTCCACCCACATAAAACTCTCCAAACCCTGCACATTGTATTTAGAACAATCCCAGCCAGTTCTATCTATGACCTAGAGACTTTCAGAAACTCTGGTCCCTGCCCACCTCTCAGGCCTCATCTCTGACTCCCTCTCCAAGGCATTAAGCCCTCGTGGAGAGACTTTCTGTAACAAGCGTGCTCCTGCCTCAAGGCTTCTAGCCTTGCTGTTCCCTCTGCCTGGAATGCGCTCCCTGCCCTCCCCTGCTCAAATGTCACCTCCTTAGAAAGGCCTTCTCTGATGGTCTTACCCCAAATGCCCCTGCCCCGAGTGCCTCTCCATCCTACTGCTCTGCTTTACTTTCCTCCCAGCACTGAGGGACATCTGAAATTACACCACTCTATTTCATCAAGTCAAGAAGAGATAGATTGGGGTTTTTTTTTCTGATTTTTTTTTTTTTGAGGAAGACTAGCCCTGAGCTAACATCTGCTGCCAATCCTCCTCTTTTTGCTGAAGAAGACTGGCCCTGAGCTAACATCCGTGCCCATCTTCCTCTACTTTATATGTGGGATGCCTACTACAGCATGGCTTGCCAAGCAGTGCCATGTCTGCACCCAGGATCCAAACCGGCAAACCCCGGGCTGCCCAAAGTGGAATGTGTGCACTTAACCAGTGCGCCACGGGGCCGGCCCCAAGAAGAGATGGATTGTGAGATGCACCATTATTTTGTGTTCCACACACACAAAAGAAATGCTGCTAATACAATTATGACATGCAGTGGAGGAAAATGTGCATCCAAGAACAGATGGAATACAGGATTTATTACCTTTTCTTACAGTGCCTGCCTTGCCCTCATTCACAGATGTCAGATGTTCTCTGAGAGCAAGGACCTTGAACAGGTCTTGCTCAGTCCCCTGACACAGAGCAGGTGCTCAGTGAATCCCTGGCAGATGAATGAATAAGCGAGGGAGTGAACAGCTTTCAATCTTCTCAACTCTGAGGCAGAGATTACGATCGCCATTTTACAGGCGAGCAAGCGGAGGCTCAGCGAGGGGTGTGACCTGCTGATGCCCACCCGGTGGCCAGTAGAGTGGGAGCCCGGCTCCGCCTCCCTCTGCCTCATCCACGAGTGCTCCCCTGGCAGTGCCTGAACAAGGATAAACCCAGGGCCTTCCGAGCCTGGAATCCCCCTGAGAGCAGAGTCTTTGCATCGTCTGGATGTGAGGAGTCTAAGGAGCACCGGTTCCTCCAAGAAACCCCTTCCCCCAGTGACTGCCCTCCTCTGAACTCCTGAAGTCTCCCCCTGCCTCCTGCCATCGGCCTGGCCCATCCATCCTCAGCCAGTTCCATGCCACCCCTTCACCTGCCCCTGTCCAGCCGCCCACCTGAGTATTGCTGCAGCAGCCAGACTTTGAGCTCGATGAAGCTGTGCGCGAAGTGGCAGCTGTCTTCGCGCAGGCAGCCATAGCGCACCTCGTGGCGGCACACGTCGAACTGGAAGTGCTCCTGGAACTGGCGGATCTTGGAGTACTTGAGGGAGGTGGAGCGGACGATGTGCACCAGGCACCTGGCGGGCAGGGGGCACCATGCAGTCTGCAGCCCCCAACCCTCCCCTACCACGCCTGGTCGGGCCACTCTCCCCCAGTGCCCAGCAAGCCTGAGGGGAGGGGCCTCTCCCAGGTGCCTCCTGCCCTGTTGACCGTTTTTAGAACGTGACGGTGCAGTAGGTCAGAGGCGGGGGTCCTGCACTCTGGCAGTCCTGGGTTTGAGTCCCAGCTGTGCGCCCTCCCCTGGCCTCAATCTGGGGCCAGCTCAAAGATGAAGCTGCCAGCAGGAGGATGACACCAGATCCCACTGGCCATGAGGTTGGGAGAAGGGACATTTCCCTCAAGTTCCCCAGCTTGATGCTCCAAAGCTGGTCCTGCACCCAGAGAAATACTAAGTGAGTACTTCCTCTGGGCCAGGAATTTTTTTAGATTTTACTTGTCCTTTTTCTCCCAAAGCCCCCCAGTACATAGTTGTGTATTTTTTTAGTTGTGGGTCCTTCTAGTTGTGGCATGTGGGACGCCACCTCAGCATGTCCGGATGAGTGGTGCCATGTCCATGCCCAGGATTCGAACCGGCGAAATCCTGGGCCGCCGAAGCAGAGCGTGCGAACTTTCCCGTTCGGCCACGGGCCGGTCACAGGGTTGGCCCCAAGGGCCAGGAATTTTAATTACCCTCACAGCAACCCTAGGAGATTGGGATCATCATCAACTTTACAGATGAGGAAACTAAGGGTCATAGTGGCCAAAGGACATTAAACAGGCTGTTGACCAGACCGAGATTTGGACCTAGGTCTGTCTGACTCCAGGGCCTGGGCTACATCATCCATACTGGAACAGAGCCAAGGGGAGTCAGAGGGAAAGGTAGGTCCAGGCCTGACCCAGCCACAACCCCCCGCCACCGTCCGACACCAATGTCACTACAGTGGAGGGCACCAGATGGGAATCAGGGATGTGGCTCCCCACTTGCTGGCTGAGTAAGCTACTTCCAAGCCTCAGCTTTCTCATCAGCACTCGAGATAGTAACTCCACCCTTAGGGGACTACGGAGACCATCATAATTCCAAGAGAATGCTTGGAATACAGAGATGCTCAGTAAATGTGGTCCTGTCCTTTCCCGGTAGATGCTGGATCTGAGTCCCAAATTCTGCCCCTTGCCTTAACACCCCAGGTCTCCCCTCTGGCCTTAGCTGCTCCCCAGGCATCTGAGCTGCTCCAGGGGGTCTCTCCACAGCCTCCAGCCCCGGCCTGGGCTGCAGGTCCCACTCACTTGTTGTTGTAGAAGCTGTGCTTGGCAGCCAGGTTGGAGCAGACAGACGGCGAATCCTTGGTGCCTTTGCTGATGATCCGGGGTTTACTGTCAAAGCAGATCTGCCCGGGGAGGGGGTGGGCTGGGATCTGGCATGGCCACCCAGGGAGGGACAGACTGGGTCCCTGCAAGCCCGGCCCTTAGTTGGGGGAGTGAGGAAGATTCTGAATTCCAGAGTCTGCAGCCCCCGCCTCTCTGGCTCTAACTGACAGATAACCTGGGCCTTGGCTCTCTCTGATCCCATCACTCCACAGGCCTGGGGCAGGGGTTACTCCATGTCTCTGAGCCTCAGCCTCCTCAGCTGGAAACCGAGGATAACCACACCTGCTCTGTCCCACAGATTCACTGTGAAGCTCAAAAGGACATAATGGAACTGCTGGTGCTTTGTAAAGTCATGCAGCCAAGCGGCTGTGAGCCCTGACTTACAGGCTGACTGCTCCCTGAAGGGAGTGGGTAGTCTACTTGCTCTAAGAGTCCGAGGGAAGGGCTGGCTGTGCAATGGATCAGGGTTGGGTTGAGCTGCACCAAACCCTGCCAGCAACCTGGACCCAGAGCTCTCAGTCCATGGAGATGGACCCGATGTTGTCTCTGCCCACATTCCCCAATGACTGGCTGGGGAGGCAGGGGCTTCTGTGACAGCTGTGGGGAGGGAATTAACAACAGCTTGGTGGAACTGCTGGGATCAGAGCTGAGCCTCAGAGGGTCTGAAAGGCCTCCAGGGACAGGGCACAGCCTGGACACAGGCAGGGAAGCAGGCAGGAAGGTGCAGGGGGCAGTAAAGGCAGCACAGCAGGATGAGGAGGCGTGGGCAGAATCGAGATGAGTGCTTAAAGAGCCTGGCACCAAGCCTGGCCTGTGATGGCCATAAGGAAAGAACAGGTGTGGTTACTCTCCTTCTGGCCTCAGTTTCTGCCTCTGCAAAATGGGGGTGCTGGACAGGATCTGGGCTCTCTCATGACAGGATCCTACGGGCCTAACTTTCTGACAGTCCAAGGACTACTGATTCTAAGGTCACACCTCCAAAGCCCGCAGGTTCCAGAACTGACATTCCACCATGCAGGGCACCATGGAGCCCCCTCTGCTGGCCTCGTTTGTGCCATCACCTATGGAAGTGGCAGGTGGGTGGGGTGGGTGGGCAGGTACCTCACAGAGGAAAGTGAAGATGCCCTGGTGCTCCTTAAGGAGTTTGGCGATGGTGAGGCTGCCACGCTTGACGCCCCCCAGTGGGTCGAAGAGCAGGTCGCGGTTGAGGGTGCCCTTCCGCTCCTCGGTCCACACGTCGATCTCCTCCTGATGGTAGGCGAAGGTGCAGTTATCCCCGTACTTACAGTCCTGCTTGTTAATCATGTCTGCAAAGAGGCAACAGGACACACGTTCCGCCAGGCGGGACGGCAGCCCATAGTGTCCCACACCCACCGCTGCGGCTGGAGGGGCCAGCAGCCACCTGGTGGGGCCCAGGCTCATTTCCCACAGGTAGGGTAGTTGCCTGCCGACCTTGAGGACTTAGGAGAGGCAGAGCAGCAGAGTTCGGGGAAAGCCCTCCCAGGCCAGGCCCCTTCTTTGCTCTACATCTGGGTGTGTGTGGGGGGGATCCACATCATCATCTGCAAAGCAGGGCAGTCATCCTGGCTCCACCACCCCACAGGGCTGCCCTGTGTGGGTCAGGCGAAATGAGAGGTGTGGAAAGGGCTTTGAGGAAGTATACAAGTCTCTAAACAAACAAGAGGGATTTTATTATTACTATTCACCAGGAAAATCCCACTGGTTAAGGGCCAGGGCCTGAGAGTCAGCAGACTTGGGCTGGGATCCCCTGCTATTCCTGAGTCTCAGCTGTCTGTCTCTCACACAGCACACTGGGTTGCTGTGGGCATTAAGTAAAATAATAAATAAAACTCCTGGGGGCCCGGGAGTTGGGAGGGCAGCAGGCTCATAACCCAAAGACCTACCATTTCTTGGGGGTGGGAACTGTTTTCCTTCCTTTCTCTCCCTCCCTCACACTCTAAGTCTGCCCAGCCCCATCTCTCTGCCAAGCTGCCGGCACACAAGGACGAGGGGGCCAGATGCCTAGGTGACCACCAGGGACTGTGTTCTGCACTGTCACCAGCTTTGCATCCAGGAGGGACGCCCTGCAGGGAAGGGCTCCCGAGATCCAGGCGCTGCCTGAAGGAAGAGCAGGGGACGACCAAGTTCAAGGTGCAGAGCGTGTGCAAAGGAGTCAGGGTTCAGTGTATTTAGGGAATGGTTAGGGCAGACGGGGGACTTGCAGGTCTTGCAGAACTTGGATTTCATCCACACTGGCTGGGGCATGGCCGACGGAGGCCTTCAGGCCCAGCAGCGACATGTCTGTAGGATCCTGCTGGGAGGACAAGGAGCTGGTCCGGAAAGCCTGGGTGGGCTACTGCCACAGGCTGGGTCGGGGGACAAAGGTGGAAACTGGGGACGGCTGCTCCCAAAGCCTCGGTTCCCTCACCCAGAGTTGTCATAAGAATACGTGATGGTGGGTACAAAAGGGTAACACCATAAAGCACTCCACAATATCGCAACTGGTCATGGATTGCCGTGCAGCCTGCACCAAGACGCTTGGTTGGCGAGTAGAAGGAAGCAAATAAGGTACACGACGAATGTCCGTTAAGTATCGACCAAACTGAAAGGAGTGAGGACAAGGATAACATCATAACTTTTAAAAGCTAGTATTATCGAACCCTTACTATGAGCCAGCCCTAAACGGTTCACATGGATTCTCTCCACATCCTTCCAACAGTCCTTTAGGACCTGCAGGCTCTCCATGAAATGTCTGACCTTCACACTGGAGAGCACAGGCTGCCATATATAACATCGCTTACATTCCCACCTGTCTACAGAGCTGGTCAGGGTGGGAGATGCTTATTCTTGTGTGGGATTCATCCTCAATGACCCACACCTGCTCTGTCTACATCTGTCTACCTGTGATGGGGAGCAGAGCAGTGGCTGGGTATGAGAGGAGCTGGGCCCGGGCTGTGCTATCCACCCACCTTTGCACAGGTAGTAAGAGCCCACGAAGCTGGTCTTGGTGGGCCGGGGCCGGATCCGCTTCCAGGTCTGGTCCTCGGAGCTGCGGAGCCGGCCGAGCAGGATGTCCCGCTTGCACTTGTGCTCAAGGCCCTCACGGTAGGTGTAGTCACCCGCCCTGGGGCCTGTGGGTACAGGGTGGATGGGGACTGTGATGCCAGAAGCAGAACTGAAGGGGGATGGCTTACGGGCCCAGCAGTGAGAACTGGCCACTCCCTCGCCTGGGCCTCCTGCCAGCTCTGCCGTAGGCTCCCTGGAGACAGGGGGCCGGGTTGGGCGCATTCTCAGCTCCATCACCTCCCCACCACAATTCTCTAATAAGTCTATGTCCGCGTTGCCCTACAACGAACTATGACGGCAGTGCCTCGCAGAGAGATGGCCCCGACAGAGCCTGCCCCTCTTCCCACTCCGGATGCACTGCCCAGATTCATCTTCCCTCTCCCTCCCCATCCCTTTCTCTCTCCCCTGCTCCTCTCAAATCTTCTCACCAAGGGCCTCCTCTTCCCTGACAATGGGGTGGAGGGATCTCCTCAAAGAGACCAAGAGGAAATGGCCCTTGTGGGGACCCCATGTAACCTGGCTGTGCTGCACCAAGTGTGCACCCCAAGGCAGTGGGCAGTGGGCACGCAGATCAGAGAGGCAGTCTGAGGTCCATGCAAGGAAGAACTTGCTCATGGGCATAGCCATCCAACAAGACAGCATTCTGTTCCCCGTCTCTAGGTCCAAGGGACCTTTGGCGGGATCACTGTCAGTCAGGGGTGACATGTATGTGGCAGAGGGATTGATGGGGGAGGTCCAGCAGTGGGTGGGTGACAGCAACTAGATGACCTCTTGTTAACTTCAATACCCCTGATATGGAGAATTCTTGATGCTAAGACTTTTAACCCTTGGTTTTCAAGAGAATACCATTCTAAAACTTCAGGACTGTGGGATTCTGGCAAATGAGATGCTATGAGTCTTAGAGTCTCAAATTCTGAGACTCTAGGTGTGCTGAAAAATATCTACCAACATTGGGCATCTATTCTGAACTGTTTCTATAGTCTCCCTTGGATTCTGGGGGCTGTGCCTAGGAACTACATTTCCTAGACTCCTTTGCCACCTGGCTTCTGGGCAAGATTTGAATTTACCAGTGAGATGCACTCAGGTGAGAGGTGGACCCGGCGGTGGTGTGTGGAGAGAGGTGCAGGCTGCATTTCCTCTGGTAGACGTGTTTGGGCAGCAGCCAGCTGGACTCTGCATTCCACGGCCAGGTACCAGCCTCTGGGCTGTGGGGTGGCCATGACACTGGCCAGCAGCTCCAGCAGCCCCAACCTCTGCGTGAGAGCAGCACCACCCGGCTTCTGGTCCTTGCCATGCAGAGGAGTAGCCCACAGGCCCAGTGGAGCCTCCTGGCTCCCACTGCTCCAGCCTTTCCAGCAGTTTTGAAAGCCCCCATCTCCCATATTATATCCCTGTCTGCTCAAGATACCCAGAGGGGCTTCTGTTTTCTGCGCTTATCTCTGACTGGAACACTAGGATGCTGTCTTTCTGGGATTCTAAGCTCCTGAGATTCCCCGCCTCTCTGGGCAGAGGGGTGGAGTAGGAAGGTGCGATGTTACCTGTTTTGGGGTAGCACAGCTGGCAGGCCTGCTTGAACTCGTGGGTGGCAGCCAAAGGGTTCTTGATCAGCAAGGCGGTGTTGGGCATGGAGGGCTCTGGCTGTGACAGGAGGAGGTTGGCCATCTTGGGCACTGGACAATGGCTGGAGCCACCTGGGCCAGCCTGGGCACCAGAGGTGGGGGGAGCTTTATGATCCTCCCCTCATCCCACCCAAGAGCAGAACTGTAGCCCAGGACCCTCCCTCTTCCTCTACCCTCCGAGTGGAGGAGCTCCTTGTAACATGATCCAAGAATCCAGAACATCAGAACTTAGTGGCGGTGCGTGGGTGAGAGTGATCTTGGCCCAGAACCTTTCCTTGACTGAAAGCCCAACCGGAAAGCAGTGAAACAGGAGTGGCCCCGACGGGCTTATGCATATGCTCCAAGCCCCCAAGGCATCAGCAGACGGGGAAGGAGGCAAATCTCAGAGAGGTTTAGTGAATTCCCTGGAGCCACACAGCTAGTGTCTAGGCTGAGGCCAGAGTACAGGCTGCCTAACTCCTAGTCAAGTGCTCTTCTCAACTCAGAACCTGGTTGAGTCCTAAGACCAGGGATGTTGCTAACCCTGGAGAAGTTACTTAACCCTTCTGAGCCTCAACAGATGGCTCAGTTTGGAAGGGGTAAGAAGAGACCATCTCTGGCCCGTCTGCTCTGAGGGGGCCCCTCCCTGGCTTCCTTGGGGGATGCAGCACCTTATATCATGCAGAGGGCTCACCCCCGACTCTGGAGCCCGGGAGGGCATGAGGTGCCTGGTCACTCACCGAGGAGGCTGGCTTCTGAGTACCACTTGAGGGACGATGGTCCTGTGAGTTGGTTTCCTCTGTAAGGATAAGACGTGGGGTCACCTGCCCTGCTCTGAAGGGCATGAGGGGCCCTCCTAGGACTGTTTCTTACGTATTTCCAACTCAGAGAAGCTGCCCAGGCCACACATCCTCTCGTGTTCCTGCTGATCCCCGACTCTCCCCAACAGCCACTGCCCAGGGATAGAGAAGTGTCCCAGCCTGAGCAGGTCCACCCTGTGCCTCCACCTTCCACAGCCCCTACTGCCCCTGGGAGGAAGCCCAAGCTCCCCAGCCTGGTTCACAGGATCTCTGAGACCAGCCTCAGGTCTTCTGGGCCCCCAACCGGCCCTCCTCTCTGGCCAACTGCTCTGCTCATCTGCCAGCCCCTCTACCAGGCAGGCCTGGGTGGCACTGCTGCCTCTGCCCGCAGATGACCTTCTCCTTCAAGTCCCTGCTTAGCCATCACCTCCTCCAGGAAGTCTCCCTGGGGCCCAAAGCTGAGTGAAGTCATCTGTGCTCCTGTAGCCCCGTGAATCCCCCTCAGTCGTGAGTACCCTGGGCTAGGTCTGACTGTCATAAAGCCAGTCTTGCAAGGGCCCAGATGGGTCTGTTTCCTCTCTGGGTCCCTGGCCCCCAGCTCAGAGTGGCAGTGAAGGAGCCCATGGCCTTGCATCCCTTCCCCCAGCCTCAGGATCATCCCTCTGAGACCACCAGCCTGGCAACCCCAGGGCCCAGAGAGGCCAGGCAGAGAGCACCAGCCTGCAAGTCTGGAGTCCTGGACTAGCCCAGCCCTGCTGTTTGATCTTGAACAAGACACCAAGCCCCTCACAAGCGCTGCAGGAGACACAGCAACTCAGACGAAGGGGTGAAAGGGCCTGGACTTTGGCAAAACAGCTATAATTCCAACTCTGCTCTCCAGAGACCGAAGATGTGATGGCACTTTACAAACTGCTATGGGGGAGTGGAGGGAATGTGCCGCCTGGGCCTCACCCATGAAGGAGTTGGGCTTGTCCAGGGAGCCACGAGACGAAGACCCGAAGCTGTCGAGGGCGTCCAGCCGGGTCTCCGAGTATGGCAGCAGGTCCAGGGAGTCCAGTGCAGAGCCTGGGGGGTCGAGGGCATCCAGCACAGAGGCAGCCAGCTTCTTGGAGGGGTCCATGACGAGACCAAAGGAGGCAGGGGGCAGTGGGCTGGAGACGGGGATGGAGCCACCCACCACAGGTGGTAGCAGAGGGGTCCCGCCGGGGAACACGGGTATCAGCTGGGGCAACTCGCTGGGCACACCGCTGCCGGGCAGGCCACCCTGGACCAGAGACTGCGAGGTGGGGAGTGGAGGGATGGGTTAGAGAACTCGAGTGCCCAGGCCTAGGCAGAATTGGGCACTGTGGGCCTCAGGCAAACTGACCCCTCTGGGCCTCAGCCAGGACCTGTCCCACGGAGTGGAGCCAGAGATCTTTACAGCCCTTTCTAGTTGCACGTTCTGCAGCTCCACATGTCTATCCAGAGCAGGTGCCTTTTCCTCCCAAGGCCTTAGTTTCCCCAACTGTGACATGGAGACAGGGCCTTCCCTCTACCCCCCTGGGCCATGAGGATGAATGTGATGGGGTCCCAGGTGGGAGAGGGGTTCAGGGGAGCAGAAAGAGGCAGCAGCATGGCTCACTAGTGAATCCAGGAGGGTGTCCAACTCCGGACCAAGGACGTCCCCATCGGAGAAGTCGTCTAGGCTCTCGGTGCCGGGGAGGGCCCTGCTGCTGCTGTCCAGGGGGGCCAGCAGGTCCAGAACATGAGGGAACAGGGGCATCGTGGGGGTAGAGGGGAGGGGGGCTGGGGAGCCTCGCAGGTCCACGTAGCATTCTGTGGATGGGGGGTGGGCTCAGTAGCCGCAAGGGGGTCCCGCTTGGTGGGAGTGGGGGTGTCCCAGGGTCCTGGGGTCCTCATCCAACACCTTCCCACCTTTCCTAAGCTCCTGCCAGGAAGACTGCCTGCCCCGCTGGCCCAACCCCAGTGGTGGAGGCTCAGTTGCAGCGAAGGAAGCCACCACAGTGTGGAAGAAGGTCCTTCAGTCCTACAGTATCTCCCTGATGGGCCTAGCTCAGGGCCTGAATATCCTTCCTCTGGGGTGAGCAATGCCCTCTCTAAGGGCTTGAGTGGAGCACCAGCACTACCTGGTTGTGAGGCAGCCCCCGCCCTCCCCGGCTGGAAAGATGTGCTCTCCTTCCTGCAGGGGAGTCTGTTTTCCAGAATCCACCATTTTCTTTCACGCTTCACTGAGTCCTCAGGGCAGGGAGCCCTCAGGAGCCCCTATCTACAGGGCAGGGGCTGGGAGTGGCTTGACCTGTCTGACTTCCCAGGGGTTTTGTGAAGGAGGGTCTGAGCTCTCCCTGGGGCCCCATCTCCACCCCATCCCCTTGCATGAGGGAGACTACCTGTTTCGATGTCATCTATGGACCCCAATCCATTGGAAGTTCCCTGTGGAAAGGAAGGACACGGTGGGTCAGGCAGACATGGGCTTGGAAGGCCAAGGTGCCCAGCACTCAGGGCCCCGGGTCCCTCCCCAAGTGACTATTGCTCGTATCAACCACAGCTGGACAGGCTGGGCTGGGAGGCGGGGGAGTGGGGTCAGACACCCCTCCCATCTGCCCCTCACGCTCGGGGGAAGTGCCCTCTGAGCCTCGGTTTCTTCACCCATCACAGGATAGGGGCCATACCCTGGGGAGGGGGTGAGGGTTTTACCGAGCCCTCCACACACTGTGCCATGCAATAGTTTGCAGCTCAAAGACAAAAGTGCTACTCTGAATCACCAGTGTCCCCTCCCCCAATTACAGGCTGACAGGTTGGGTGGGATCCCATGGCCACCCATGGACCTCCTGTTGGAGGGAAAGCCAGGCCGAGCTTGCTCTGTGGCCTTGCCACGCTCCTCATCTACTCTGGGCCTGTTTCCTCACTCGTAAAGTGAGGATGATACAGTCACCACCTCCTAGGACCAGTACAAGGATGAAATCACTTGACATTTGTACAGAGCTTAGAACGGTGCCCGACACACTGGAAGAGCTTTACGTGTGTGTTAAATGTGTAGCATGAAATATTAAATCCAAGCTATCAGGAGGCTGACCTTGGTGACCTGGATGTTCTGATTCACCAGCCTCCGTGTTCCATCCCCATGGACTCGCCTGGCTCATCTCCACCTGTGGGCTGTGGCCTGAGTCACTCCTTGAGCCTGGCATGTCCTCCCCTTCTCTGAGTCCTGCACAGTCCAGCTAAAGTCCTCCTTCTCTGCTGAGGCCCTGGGTGACCCATCTCCTTTGTGCCCCCGCGGAAGCCGAGAGGAGGACCAACCCTCACTGCTGGCCACCCCATCCTGTGGATCAGCAGGAGCAGCAACAGCAACAAGATTTATCCAGCGCCCTGCCTCACACCAGGCCGGGGCCAGTACTTCACACCCTTTTGCGTTCAGCCCTTGGCCCAGGTGCCCTGCGAGGTGTTGTCCCTCGGCACAGAGATGTTGGTCCAGAGAAGCTGCCTCTCACGGTGAGAGTGTCTGCTGACTTGGAAGCTCATCCTGACCCCATCCCCTCTGCCTGTGCACTCCCCACACCCATCAGCACAGAGCTCCTCCTTCTCACAGCCCTGAGCCCATCCTGGGCACACAGCAAATATGTGCAGTTCAGTCTCCCAGGGCACGCGTGGCCATCACAGACAAGCTGCACAAACCAAGGCCATCACGTGGGATGAGGGGGCTGCTCCTCCCCCAGTAAGTAGCTAAAATACTTGAGGGGAGAAAAGAAGTGCCAGATGACCATCTCTAGGGACAGCTGTGCTTCTCCCTGCCCAGTGCTGTCCATGGCCCTCAGGACAGACACCTTCTCAGCCTCCTGCCCACCAGGTGGCCCCAGCCCAGCTCTCCAGGCTCGCCTCTGCCCTTTTCCTGCTGGTGACGCTCACGTCGCACTGCAGGTGTATGGGGCACCTCCTCTCTGGCAGGCAGTGTGCTGGGAGCTTTCATGTCTGACCCACTGCAATCCTACAACTGCCACAAGATGGCAGGTGCCAGCACCTTTCTGGGAGGTGGAGAGGCCCCCTCAGACAAGGGGTGCACTCAGGATTTGAACCAAACATGCCCAGCTGCAGAGCCCACGTTCTTTTGAAGCCCAGCGGGGAGAACTGGTTTTGTGGTCCAGGGCGTGCATTTCCCTCTCCTGCCTCTAGGCCTTTGCTCAAGCTGTTCCCCCAGCTGGAGTGTCACTACTCTGTCACCTGTCTGAATCCTGCCATCCTGGCTCTGTGAAATTCTCTCCCACCAAGGCTGCCTCAGGCTTGGCCTGTCCCTAGAGCTCACAGCCCTGCTTGCGTCTTGCTCTCCATGCTGCCAAGAGGCAGCTCGGGCATAGACGCCAGGCCCGCAGGGCCTCTGCCGCTCTCCCGGGTCACGAGGCGCTCCCTGTGGGCACAGCTCGTGTAGTCTCCACTCCACATGTGCAATGACTGACTAGCTGAATGAACAGGCTTCCCATGCAGGAGTCCCACAGGGATCCCAGCGGCCAGGCTCGCACCATGTCTGTGTACAACTTACACAAGGTCAGGGGATCTGGCTGGGACGCCCCCCTCCCACCTGCGTGCGTGTGCGTGTGCGTGTGCGTGTGTGTATGTGTGTGCGGGCCTTCACATGCACAGCACCGTGCTGGTGCACTGAGGCAGGACCTGACCCGGTCCTCTCCACTGTGGAGTCCCTTCTGCTTCACCTCCTCACAGACCCCCATCCCTGTGACCAACTTTGGCCTCTGTGCGTGTGGTGGGCCCCAGCAAGGTTACAGGGATGGGTGAATGGTTTGGCAGGGGCTGGGGCATCCGATGCCATGCATGGCACATCTGTGGTCCCCTGGCTGCAGACTCAGTGGACAGTAAGGATTGGCCCATGTGGGCATTCCACTCACATTTGCTGTGGCCTTTTGGCCATGGTCATTCAGTCATTCAACAGATACCTTTTGAGCAGTTGCTGTGCCCGCCCACTGCTGCTCTGCTTGCTGTGACAGGCAGCTGATATGTCGCACACTCACAGACTGGCCTACAAGGACCCTAGAGGCGGGCTCCCCACTCCCTGACCCCTAGAAGAGACTTGTGAGCTGGGCTGGTAGGGAAGGAGAGCAAGCAGCGACCCTGGCTCAGCCACCATGCTGCTGGCTTCCCAGCCTGCTCTCACTTCATCCACGCAGTCACCCTGGGAACCGAGCACACTTATTGCCAGTGCACAGAGGGAGAGCCAAGGCTCAAAGAGACGCAGTCCTTTCCCGTAGGTCACGCCACAAGTGAGCGGAGACTAGGCCTGTCCGACTCCAAGGTGGTGCCACGTGGAGGCACAGAACAGAGGAACCCACAGTCCCTGCTCTCGAGTGAGCTCATCATGGAGCCAAGGAGACACACACGGTCATTGGGGTGTGAGTAGAAGGAGGTGAGGATGCACTGGGATGTTGGAACCAGGCTGTGGAGGAGCCTGAATGCCAGGCTAAAGTATCCAGATATCGATTAGTAAGATTAGTTTTAAACTGATACTTTTAAACCGATACTTTAATTAATAACTACTGAGGGTCTCTAAGCTGGGGAAGAGACCCACAAGGCCTGGCTGACAGAGTTTACCTTGCAGCAGTGATGGGGGACACCACCAGCAGCCATGGCCCGTCCCCCACACTCTGCCCCTGTGGTCACAGGAGGCACCTCTTAGGGGGTGAAACTGCTGTGTCCCTGAGTTGTCCTCATGAGCCTGGCCCAGGCCCAGGTCCAGGCTGACAGTCACCCCCCTTCCCAGGGCAGGTGACTGGCTCACAGCAGTGGGGATAGGACAGATTGAGCCCAACCCTTCAGTCTTATGCCCCTGGACCCGCCGCTGGAGGTCACTTATTCGCCAGAGTGGATCCAAAGCTCTCAGGACGGATGAACCAAGATAGGTGAGTCCTGGGGGTGGGGAAGGAGGCTTGGGTCCTGGCCCCCATCCTACCTGATCTGCCACACCAGCTGCAGTGCCATTACTGAGCAGAGAGAAGGTTTCCAATTCCTGCCAGAGATTGGAGAGAGGAAGGAAGAAATGAAGATTCTGGAAAGACGGTCCAGGTCTCATGAGCCAGAGTAGCAGAGGGGCCCCGACACAGGCAGCTAGGGTCTGTGGGGCCCTCCAAGGCTCCCTGCCCCAGGCCTGCCAGGATCACCTGCTCTGTTTCTGGGTCAGATGTGGGGGTTCTCTTCCTGCAACTGTGACCCAGGCAGAGGACTTCCACACACACACTCCTACTGTGTGCCAGGCACTGTGCAAGCTGCCATCTCAAACATCCTCTCATTTTGATCCTCCCATGGACCCTCTGGGGTGGCATAATTATCCTCATATTCCACATGTGGAAACCAAAGTGGAGAGAGAAGAACTAATTTGCTCAAGGTCACGGCAGAGACTTTAGAGCCATACCCTTTCTTACATGTGGCTTCCTGGCACACAGTAGGTGCCAAATAAATATATGTTGATCTGAATAAGCCAAACAGATACCAACATCTCAAATATGTGCCAAACAGGGGTAATTTGAAAACATAAGGCTGAAGGACACCAGTGTCAACTCAGGCCATCTCCAGGATGTTGCAGTCGGCAGGGGAGGGAGCAGGATTTAACAGCTGGTGTCTAAGGTAAACTGGAAGCTTTGGCTGTTCTTTCCTTTTCCAAAAGGTTCTGGAAGTCGTTCCAGGGCTTTCAGCCAACAGGGAGGAAGATCACCTGTCATCACTGCCCTCTGTCCTGGCCTGGCCCTGGCCAACCTCACCCACTTCTCCCGAAGGCACCTGGTTCCTCCCGCCCCTTCAGATCTCCCCATCTCCACCCCAGCCCACCCTGCAGTGCCCAGAGCCCACCTACTTGGGGCCTCTTATATGCCTTCCGAACTCGCAGCCCAAGCTTCTGAGCCAGCTCCTGACCAAGCTGAGTTACACTTTCATCCTGGGAAGGCAAGACACGGGGTGGAGCCGGTTAGTCCGCCCTGGCGCACAAAGCTGTGCTCCCGACATCTCGTGCAGCCTTGCAAGGGGGCTGCTGTCCCCAGGAAGCAGGGCCCAGGAGGGAACACCGGCTGCCCAAGTCACACAGTTAGTGCAAGGTGGAGGTGGGGCCAGGTACCCATGCTTCTATTTTTCCTCTCCCCCTCCTCTTGTGGGGAGAGGAAAGGAGTAATTTTCGTTTTTATTTTAACATTATCTGTGTATTCCCATAATTCAGCAAGTAAGAGAGTCATGTAGAGGATAAACGTTACAGAGACAGAAAGTGCTCCCTGGATCGCGCCCACCCTCACCCAAGGCTCCTCCCCAGAGAGAACACGCCTTGTAGGTCTGATGTGTTTCCCCACAGAGCTTTTCTAGAAATTTACATACACGTATAGGGACCTGTTTAAAGGATGCTTAGTTTTGCTTTGTGGGATTTTCTTTGTTTTTTTACCTGAGTGGAGTCATATTATACTCACTGTTCTACAGTTTGCTTCTTTCACCAAACAATGTCTTGGAACTCTTTGCAAGTGAGGGCCTGTGGACCATGCGCGTGCCCAAAGGAGCAAGGATGTGTGAAGTTTAGAACATGCCTGGCTCCAGTTAGTGCTCAGTAACAGCACCCAGCATTCCTCCCTCCCTCCGAGCTTGTATTACTGTACATGTGCTAGGGGCCAGGCACGAGGTAGGGACCAGGGACATCACAGTCACAGGGCAGACGGGGGCCAGGCCTCAGGAGGCTCTAGTCCGGTGGGGGAGACCAATCAGTAAACAAAGAAATAGTGACTGTGGTCTGGGCCCCAAAGGGGCAACAGGGATGCTGTGACATCCTGCACATTTGTCCACCTCCCCACCTCAGTGATGAGCTCCAGCAGCCTGGGCCAGAGTCTGAGTCATCTATGGTCTCAGTATCCCATATGGAGCAGGGCTCGGTCAGTATTTGCCCACAAAGACTGGAAAATGGGGAATTCCCCAACTCGGTCAGAAGTCTTTGTTTGCTGCTTTCCTCCAGAGAGTTACCACCCTCGCTGGGCCTGGCTTCCTCCCCCGTGCTGCGGGTGTAAGCTGCCCTGCCTCCCGTGAGTGGGTAGCCATGAGGCTCAGATGTGGACCTGCTATGAATGCTGGAAAACACCGTATGGATCGGAGACTACTGTCACAAGAAAGGCTCTCAATTGTGAACTAAACTGAATTGGACAATAATAATAAACAAAAAGTATAACAACAGTGAATGTTTCCTGAACACTTACTGTGTCTGGCCATTGTGCCGACTGCCTCGTCTGATTTTCTGTCAGTCTCAGCACAGCCCTATGAGGCATGGCATGTTATCCCCCCCACTTTACAGGGGTGCAAACCAAGGCTCAGAGAGGCTAAGCCGTATGTGCAAAGTCACACAGCTAGTAGGTGGCAAACCCAAGTGGAACCCGAACCCAGGCCAGCTCTCCGATGACAACAGCCTTGACCACTGTCCACACAGCCTTCCCTCTGCTCTGCCCAGCCAAATCCTTCTTGCTTCTTCCAGCCCCACTCAAGCCCTGCCTCCTCCAGGGAGCCCTTTAGGCTCTTGATCACTTCTGAGCCCTCTCTGCCCTGCCTGAGCAGAATCTACTCTTCTCTGAGCCCTCTCACACCTGCTATTTCAGGGATGAAGTTAGGAGGGGAACTTTATAGACATGGGGCTGGTGTGCAGAGAGGAGAAGTGCTTTGTCCAAGGTCATGTGGGGTCAGTGGTAGAGCCAGGCCTAGACCCCAGGGCTGTTTCCATTTGTCTCCTAGTGCACTGTGGGTCCCTGAAAGGCACAGATCTGGCACCAAATACTTGTTAAGCAGATGAATAAATGCGGAGGGGGCATGTGCCCAGCCATGCGTGGGCTGGGACAAGCAAGGCTCTCCCTGGGTCATTTCCCATTGTCTCTTCCCCACCTAGTGACACCTTGACCATCAAGACCAGCACACTTGGCACCCCTTTTAGTCCTCACTCCAGCCACACTCTCAGAGTGCCGACTCCAGAATCAGACTGCCTGGGTTCGAATGTTAGGTGTGCCACCCCCTGGCTGTGCTCTTGGGTAAGTTCCCTTCCCTCTGTCCCTCCAGCTCCTCATCTGTAAAACAGGGATAATCATAGGATCGACCTCAAAGGGCTGTTCCAAGGGTTAAGTGAGTTAATACACATGACGTACTTTCAGCAAGGCCTGGCACACACTCCGAGCTCAGTGCTGACATCAGCAGGTGCCACTCCATCTCACAGAGGAGCACACTGAGACTCAGAAAGACGTGGTACTTTGGCCCAATGAGGGCCAGCTCAGAGGGCTTGGAGCCTGGACTCAGAGGCTGGCCCCTCGCGCAGACGCAGAGCCGCACTCACATGGGGCAGGGCGAGGGAGCACCGGCTGCTGCACTCGTAGGCCTCCTTGTGGCGTCCCAGCTCGTTGAGGGCACGTGCCTTGCGGAACAGCGCTCGGATGTTCTCGCCATCCAGGCCCAGTGCCTTCTCACTGTCCTCCAGTGCCTTCTCATACAGGCCCTGCCAGGGAGGAGCAGGTGGCTAGTCGGTCAAATCCTGTTACCCTCCCTCCCCCAGGCCTCCTGCCCCCACCTCCCTTCCCTGCAGGGATGGAGGATGCTGGAGGACCGGGGTCAGGGAGGGAGCTAGCAAGCTCCAGGAAAGAGCTCTGGGGTTGAGACTCTGGTCAAGGGCATCCATGTGTCCAGCTGAAGGGGCTGCTAACAGACACCGGCAGCCACTGGAGGGGAGGGGCCTTCAAATTCTACAGTGATGAGCCCACTCACTCAGACACGTCTACTTCCATATCTGCCTTTGGTTCAGAATATCATGGACTCAGAGCATACAGGCACCTCTGAGAAGAAGTGAGACCATGAAGGCAGCTCAGGGTACAGAGCAGTGTGAACAGCCATCTGGTAGACTTGTTTATCCAGAACAGTCCACTCTGGATTGCAGAGGTCTTACTGGAGCCTCTGCAGAGTCCACAGCAGGGCCTCCCACAGGATCTGGTGAATGACTGAGTCAGTGAGCAAGCAGGACAGGGAAGAGGAGGAGGCTGAAGCGTTAAGGAGGAGAAAAGGAGGAGGTTGGAAGTCTGCAGGAAGAAGCAGGCAGCTGAGGATGTGATGGGAGGAGAGGAGCCCAGGAGAGGGCAGAGGTTTGCAGAAAGAGGCGGTTGATGACGAAGGTAGCGGTTCTCAGCCCTGACTGTCCACAGACTCCTGCCAACGCCTCGCCACACCCAGATTCTGACTTATTCTTCTGGGGTAAGGCTTAGGCACCAGTATCACTAAAAAATTTTTTTATTACATATTATTGCTTTGAAAACTCTCCAGGTGAGTCTGTTGTGCAGCTGGGGTTGAGAGCCATGGGAGTGGATGGTGAGATTCAGACAGGAGGAGGTGGAGGAGCCGGCCCTGCAGAGGCTCACGGGGCATGGGCCTGGCTTGGCTGGGCATCTGGGGGAAGCGGTGATCGGGGGGGGGCGGCGGAGAAGAGGAAGGGAGGACACCAGGCTCACCATGGTGAAGTAGCAGGCGGCCCTGTTGACATGCAGCTTGCACAGCAGCTCCTGGGGCAGAGCCACCTGGTCAGAGGCAGCGTAGTCAGCCACATTCAGCCCCTCCATGTATTGCACCAGGGCCTGCTTGTAGTCCTTCTCCCGGAATAGGTCATTGCCTTCAGCGAACAGGTTCTGCACCAGCTTGAGCAGAAAGGCCTGCCAGGGGGCAGGAGGCAGAGGGGGCTTAGGGGGCCTTCTCCATCCAGCCCCAGTCCTGGCACCCAGCCCCTACATCCCCTTCTCTGGACACCCCTCTCCTTCGCCTCCCTCCAGCCCAGCAGCTGACACTCACCTCATATTCTTCTTGCTTCAGGGGTAGTGTCGACCTAGCAGGAAAAGGAGAGGGATACAAGGTCTGGGTGAGCCCAGGGGTCCCAGCCTCAGGGAGGCCCTAGGAGCCAGAGCCACAGGCCAGAGATCACACCAGGAGTGGGCTCCTCCAGCTCAGACTTCAGACGTCGCCTTGTGGATTGGGGTGAGGGGACAGGAGCGTTTTCCCCCTAAATCGACACCATGCTGGCCTTCCATTTCTGATGGAAGGGGTGGAGGAAGGCCTTGCATTTGCCCCAGGGCCTGGCAGCTAGGCCTCCCCAGGTGCAGATGCTGAGAAAGAGCAGACCAGCTTCAGCCCCAGCCAGCTGTCCTGTGCCTAAGAAACCAGTCCCCTGGGAATAACCACACACCACCAAACCAAACCCGCAACTGCAGGCCCACAGGCAGCACCAAAGTCCACCTGGGGTCCCCTTGGTTTGGGAGTCTCTGCCATTCTCCTGACCCCTCCTGTAAAACACACATGACCCCAGGCAATAGCAGGTACACTCAGAGCCTGTCAACCCCTCATGCCACACTCAAGAAATTAGGTGGGGTCCTGGGCACCCTCTCCTCTCCAGGGACCAAAAAACCGCCAGCTCAGTATGGAAGAAAGTGTCAGCCCAGGAGAACTGAGGCTGAATGGCTGAGCTGGAAAGGAAGGTGGGGTTCATCTCCTGGTCCCTCATGTCAGAAAGGGGAAAAGAGACAGAGAAGGGCAGTGACTTGCCCAGGGTCACACAGCAGGTCAGCGTCAGAGCCAGGGCCAGAGTGCAGGGCTGGGGATTTTTCTGTTGTGCAGAGCCTCCGCCAACACCTGGGCAAGAAGGAGCAGCCCAAGCGAGTAAGTGAGAAGAGATGAGACGTTGGAGATGCCCTGGGTGTGGGGAGGAGGGGTCCCTGACTGTGACAGCAGGGCTCGCCATCCCACCCTCTCACTTGCCTCTCCACTGTCAGAGACCAGGGCCCATCCCTCCCTCCCCCAACTGCCCCAGCCCAGGCCCCATCGCTATCCTCCAGCCTCTCCCTTTCCAGCATCAGCTTCATCTTCAACAGGTCACACTCTGTCCTAAGGGTCACCTCATCCTGGTGTTTAAGGCCCTTCACAAGCCAGCGCCAACCCACCTGTCTGAATCACTTCCTGGCTCCTAAAATGCTCTGTGCCCAGAGGTGTCTAGTAACTGTTTGCTAAGCACATGAGGTACGTATGTGAGGAAACAGCAGTTCTGCAAGGAGCAGGTCCTACTGCGCTGCCCTGCACAGCAGCCCCTTAGGAGGCCAACAGACGGAGGGTGCTGGAGGTTCCCAGGAGGCTGTCCTATCGCTAAACTTCAGAACTCCTCTTTGGAAAGGGAAAGGGGGGACACAGAGCAGACATTTACCCCAGGCAATGCCCTGGCCTGCTTAACCCTCACAACAGAGTGGCATTATCTCCATCTCACAGCTATGGAGACCACCCAGGAAGTGGCAGAATCAGAACGGGAATCAGGTCTGCAGGGCTCAGAGGTCCAGCTCCACAGAAATCAGGGACTTAATTTTTTTTTTTTAAAGATTGGCACCTGAGCTAACATCTGTTACCAGTCTTTTTTGTTTTTTCCTTCTTCTTCTCCTCCCCAAAGCCCCCCAGTACATAGTTGTATATTCTAGTTGTAGGTCCTTCTGGCTCTGCTTGTGGGACGCCGCCTCACCGTGGCCTGATGACCAGTGCTAGGTCCGCGCCCAGGATCTGAACTGGGGAAACCCTGGGCCGCCGAAGCAAGAGTACACAAACTTAACCACTCGGCCAGAGGGCCGGCCCTCAGTGACTTAATTTAAAGGCAGAAATCTTATGAAAGACAGTATTCTCCAGGTTCACCTTGTTCACCAGACTGCCTCTGAATAAAATTTGAGTACTTCCCCAAATCAAACCCGTCCCCCAAATGGAAGAAGACTGGCCCCCAGCCAAGAGTGTGGGGTGGGCCACAGCTCTGATGGCCAGGCCCGAGCCGGGAAAAGGATCGCATTCCAAGTTGAGGAAGGAGAGAGTGTGCTGTGACCGTATAACCTTGAGCTCCATGAGAGCAATGCGATACCGTGTGTCTGTGTGAAAAAGGACCCAGTTTGTGGCAACAATGTGGTAAGATGGCAGGTCGTGTTTTATAGGTCTATGTGAGACCAAAACTGGAGAGCATATGAGGGTACGTAGATGCAAATCCCAGTTTTGTGGGGAATCCTATTTAAGAAAAAGAGCACAAAATTAGAAACACAGAATTGCTAGGGAGCCTTCCAGGGCTTCGGAAGAGACTGTGCAAGAGAGGGGCCCCAAAGCTTGCAGTTCATTAGCGTCATAATAAATATGCCTCTGAGGAGCTATTTAAGAGAGATAAAAAAGTCAGTAAAAATATTTTGTGTGCAAAGAAAAAAATGAAAAAACAAACATGCATGTGGGTATGGGGGGCAGGGCACATAATGGAAAGAAAAGTGGGTTCTGGAGTCAGCCAGATCTGGGTTACAATCCCGTCACTTAACAGCTGTGACCTTAAACAAGTTTCTTAACCTCTCTGAACCTCAGTTTTCTCATCTGCAAAATGCAGATAAGACCACCCACTTTAGTGGGCTGTTGTGAAGATTAAAAAGATGACAAGTGGGCCGGCCCAGTGGCGCAGCAGTTAAGTGCACACATTCTGCTTCTTGGTGGCCCAGGGTTCACTGGTTCGGATCCCAGGTGCGGACATGGCACCGCTTGGCACGCCATGCTGTGGTAGGCGTCCCACATATAAAGTAGAGGAAGATGGGAACGGATGTTAGCTCAGGGCCAGTATTCCTTAGCAAAAAGAGGAGGACTGGCAGTAGTTAGCTGAGGGCTAATCTTCCTCAAAAAAAAAAAAGGTGACAAGTGTGAAAGGCCCAGTACAGAGCCTGAAAGCTGTGCTCAATAAGCAAGGACTACTGATTTATTATAAGATGTGCACAGGCAAGCAGAGAATTAACAGGGAGTGTAAGAGCATCTGTGGCAGGTGAGGGTTATGGTACACTGGGCAAAATGGAAGGGTAACCAAGGTGAGGGGGTGTGTACGCACATGGCATTCATAGCTCGCATGTGGGGTTCAGAGATCCACCCCCTTGGCCCCTGCCATGGTGGAGCCCTTCCTACCTCCTCGCTCCCCAACACACATGGGAGCCTGAACAGCAAAGGCTCAGTGAGCAAGAAAAGGGAGAGCTGCAAAGAGCCCGTGCGCGCTTCGGCATTGCCTTCGGAGGACTCAGCCCAGCCCAGACGGCCCCACCACACACTCACTGAATGAACTGCAGCCCCTTCTCGATGTCCGCCTTCCGTCTCTGCCTCTCCATCAGTCTCTGGGGGAGAGAATACAGTTCATCAGTCAGTCAGCAGGGGCCAGTCGCTCTCCACTCCCCCCACCCCCCACTCCATCATGTGCTCTCGCTCCCACGCTCATCGTATTTCATAGGTGCAGAAGGGAGTCACTGAGGACAGTGACCTGTCTCAGGGTCTACAAGACCGTTGGAACCATGCCAGGTGCTCTGCCCTCCATGCCCATGTCCCACTGGACTCCGAGTTTGTACAGTGCCCTTGATGGGCAAGGGGTTGCATGGAGGCCCCCTGCCCTTTCCCACACAAGGCTTGGGTTGCAATACTGCATGGACACCCTCAAGTTCAAGCAAAAATCCTTGTTTTACCATCAAACTCAGTCAGGGAGAAGAGATACAGAAAATGCAAAATGATGCCAATGATGATGGCTACAATGCAGCACCAGGCACCCGCCGGCCCAGGCACTTTGTATAAGGATCTTACTGAGTCCTACTGACAGTGCCATGAGGCAGGTGTCATTTTGTCCCCGTTTTACCCAGGAGGAAACTGAAGCTCAGAGAGCCCAGTCACAAGCTGGCCTGCAGCTGAGGTAGGATTTGAACCCAGGCCTTGGCCTTTCACGCCCCGCAGCTGCCCCTCCTCGCAGTTGCCCCTCCCTATGTGCACCATCTCACTGGAGCTCCACCACAGGGAGGTGGAGGGAATTCCTCATATGACGGATGAGGAAGACGGAGGCTCAGCCAGGCTAAGGACTGGCCTGAAGGTGCACAGCAACTGAATGGCAATGAAAACGTGCAGGGTACCTGCTCAAGAGACGAAGGGAGTGAAAACTGACTGTGGAGTGCTTAAGGAGAAGGGAGGCTCAGGCAGCATCATTAAGGGTCTGGCAGCTCCTGGGTAAGACCCCCAGGGCCAGGAGCTCACAGCCAGATCCAAGCAGCCCACCTGGCTTCCCCTCCAGGCCACCATGGATGGACTGCAAGGCGAGCTGCAGGTCAGCTTGTCCCACCCAGTTGCAGCCCAGGGCCTTCCCCTGGGTCAGAACTGAGCCTGGGGCTCCCAACGCACAGCTGGCAGCCAGCAGCTTCTGTCCCGGCCACTCAAGAGCCCCTTTTAGTCTCTGCCCCAAAGTGGGGCCCTCATTCCCTCCCTATCAATGATTACTGTGAGAAGGCTGTGGGCAAGGCCTGGAAGGTGGGACTGCCTCAGTCCGGGGCTGTGGGACTGGCCCTCCCACCTTGTACTTGGCTCCTACACAGCTTCGCAGAGGGCTGGGACACGGACAAAGGGAGTGGATCCTCGCTGCCTCGCTGGCACCTAGATGTAAAAAGGTGTAAAAAACACCCAACTACTTTGGGGAGGGAGCAAGTATACAAAATTCATACCTTCTAAAAATTCTTTACTTTCTTATTCTTTACTTCCATCTGTGCTCAAGCACCTTATCCTCACAACAACCCTGTAAGGTAAGTGGGGCAGGGTCACTGACCCTATTTTACAGATCAGGAAAGTGAGGCACGAAGACGTGAAGTCTCTTTCCCAAGGTCACCAACCTGTGAGTGGGCAAGCAAAGTTGGAGCCATGTCCTTTGTCACACTCTGAGCTGTGAGATGCCTTGTGGCCGGGGCAGGCTACTTTGCTCCTCTGTGTCTCCCTTTCCTCATCGGTGTAGCATGTCGGCTGACAAGCCCCCTAGCAAGGTGGTTGTGGGGCTCCAAGGAGATAAGCGCATGGGAGCAAGGAGCTCAGTTCACCGGAACCTCCCCCCTCCCACTTGTTCTTCTGGGGGGATGGGGGCAAGCGAAGCCACACCAAGTCTTCAGGCTCCCAGAACAGTGCTCTTGACACCAGACCCTCACCTCGGGCAGGGCCACAGTCATTGACAAGTGTCCACAACATGCTTGCCCTGCCAGGGGTCAGGGCTCTGCACTCAGACAGACCTGGGTGTGAATGCCAGCATTTGCTGTGTGACTTTGCGCCTTCGTCTCCTCATGGGGAAAACAGGGCTGATGGCAGCTCCTACCACACTGACTGTCGTAAGGGTTCAGGAGACGACATGTGCAGAGCAACAGTCCAACAACCCAGGAATATGCGTCATCCCTCTTGCAAAAACCTTTGCAAGAGTTTCCTGGGGTGGACATGACAGCTATGACCCCTTCTCCTGCAGTGAGGCAGGCAGTGATGGCCCAGGGCTATCCCCGCCTTGCCAAGCAGGCCTCTTCATTGGTCTCTCTCTGTCCTCAGTTTCCCTGTCTGTGAAACAGCTCTCATCATCCTCACGCCCACCCTACTCCAGCCTCCAGCCAGAATAGGCTGCTGGGAGTTCCTGCCTCCTGGCCTTTGCCCTTTGGTTCCCTCCACCTGTGCAGCCACGCTCCTCTCCATCCTGCGAATGAAACGCTATCCCTCCTTCAAAGCCGAGCCCCTCCACCGAGTCGCTCCACCATACACTCAGTCATCCTGTCGCCTGAGAGCCACAGTTGGGTCGGACCCCATCCTTGCCCTGGAATAGAAGTTTGTCTTGTGGGAGACGAGGGTGTGCCAATCCCCAGTGCAGTATGGCCCAGCGCTGGCAGGGAGCTGTGGGAGGGGAGAAGGCCCCCACAGGCCTGGACGATTAGCACCACAGGGCACGGCCACGGTCATGGCCACCAAGCCCTGCCAATTCGACCTGGGTCACAATCCAGTCCCTGTCCCTCCCACTGCCTGGCGTGTTTCCTGCCCTCAGACAGTGGACCAGCCTCCTCACTGGCCCCCACCTCCTTGAGGACATCAAGGGGGTCTTTCAAACCCACAAATTGGACCCTGTCCTCCCCTGCCTAGAGCCTGACGACTCTCTTTACCTTCGGCTGATCACAGTCTCCCCACACCAGCTCACGCCACGCGGGAGCACGGCCCTGGTGCCCTCTCGGAGCTCTGCTCAGGCTGTGGTTCTCTCAAAACCGTAGCGGTCAGAGGGCAACGTGTCAGTCAGCGCTCTCGGCCCTGACGTCTGAGCAGACGTAACGGAAGCGAACACTGCCATAACCATCCCAAGCGGTCACGCCCAAAAAATCTGAATCACTGCCGAGGAATAAAGATTCTCTCTCCAGGCCGGACGAAGGTTCCTCAGCTGGCCCTGTGGGAACCCGCCTCTCTGAGCACCCAACACCCAAAGCAGTAGGGCGGCGGTGCGTACGGCCTCTGGAGACGGTTTGGAGCCCTGAGCAGGTCACTCTGCCTCCCTGAGGCCCAGTTTCCTGCTCTGTACAACGGAGATTACAAATAGCGCCCTCGGACAGGCTTAATACACAGGAGGCACTCGCTGCAGGACCGGGCACACAGCAGGCACTTAACAAATGGTGTCTATTAAATCAGAATTCCCATGCTGGGCATTCAATTCGACATGTGCCATAAGCCCATTACATGCAGATGAGAAGGCCATGGTGCCCACCCCCACCCAGGCCTCACACCTAGTTAGAGACACGAAAAGATATCCCAGAGGCTCCATCCCAAACCAGACTTCTGTGGTAAACACAGGTGGGGGAGGCACAAAGAGAGTGGAAGCTCCTCAAAGGGGCGACACTTGAAATGAGCCTTGAAGGTTGAGTAGGAGTTGGCTCCCAGGTGTCAGCGAGGGGGAGGCCTTCTGGCAGGCTGCATGTGATGGTTTATGTAATCACTGTCATCTCCCACAGTTTATCTGATCCCGACTGATGACCCTGGGGGCTGGGCCGTGCTGGGACCCGCATTTGAGGGATGGGGACAGTAAGGATCCAAGAGGTCACAAGGCCTGCAGCCAGCAAGTGGGGGCCACAGCTGGAACTACTGACCAGGTCAGTAAAGACACTGCCGCTCTCCCCCGCGAAAGGCACAGTCGAGGCAGAACCACTCGGCAACCTTTACAGTCACCTGAGCTGTGCGTGGGCTCCACGAATGCCCGGGCCCCAGAGAGGGGAGATGTCTCTGTGGGGTGATTTGGGGGAAGTCTTCTCTACAAAAATATTGTTTCTTCCAATTTCCAATTCCAATTTCCAATATGGTCTACATATCGACCACTCTAGAGTCATTCCACTGAGTGTAAAGGCTGCAGGCCACAGTTGGCAAATAGATTTCATCTCACATAACAACGTTTCCAGGCTGGCTGGGGCTGCCCCGAGAGGCTGGGCACCAGCGGGGCTTTAAAGAAAGAGTGCCCCCATATGCGAGGTCGGCCATGAACAAGAGATGCCCAGTGGAGGCACAGATGCCTTGGGCCTTCACACCCATCCACCCCAACCCCTGTGATAATAAACTATTGCTAAAACTCATAGTAATATGAAGCGACACCAAGTCAGAGGCCCAGGTCTTACTGGGGTCCAGGATGCAGCCCCCTCCTTTAGCAAGATTTTCTGACTCTCTCAACCACACTGGTGAGTCAGTCTCTTGTGCCAAGGGCAAAGACAGACATGGACAAAGAGGGTTTAATTCAGCTCAGCTAACATTTATGACCTTCCTACTTGGTGCCAGGCACAATGCTGGGCATGGGGGCGCAGGGAGATGCAGAATAGGTCACTCAGGCCCAGCCCTGCCCCCCAAGAACTCCTGGTCCAAAGGGAGAGAAAGATGGTGGGCTGACAGGAGCCAGCAGCTGTGGTGCAGGCTAACTGTGGGTGCAAGGGGCCTGGGAACCAAGAAGACGGAGAGGGGATCCATCGGGGTGGCCAGAGAAGGCTCTGCAGGAGGTGGTCCCTGGCCTGGGTGTGAAGGAGAAGGACAAGTTTCTCGGGTAGACTGGCAAAGGAGGGACATTCCCGACAGGACGCCAGCCCAGAAGCAATGTGCACGGAGCCTGGCCTGTACCCCTTAATTTCCTGTGGCACCCCACAATCTGCACAGCCATGACGGTGAGAAACCCTCCTCCAGGGCTGCAAATGGGTCGGCCAGTAGGCCTGGCCTACAACTAGGAAAAAGCCAGAGGGTCATGGGGACACAGGGGAAGGAAACCGACATTTCCTGGGCACCTGCCATGCACCAGGTACCATGCTCACCTCCCCCGAGTGAGGGGTCT